ATAATATTTGAAGTAAATTATTAGCAATAAAATTCTAACAAAGCAATCAGTTTATAGATAATTTAATTCATGAAAATCAGTGCTACAACTTAAAAAGAGTAACAAAATCTGTGACTTTTTCATTTTAAAATAGTTCTTGAATTTTTATATTGGTTTTGGGCTAACCCTTTATTGAGATTGGTCAAAAAGTATGTGTTAATAGAACTTGATGTTTTACTTTATGACATTTTAATTTTTAATATTCTATACTGAAGCATCAAAGTAAAGCATTACTTGATATACACACATTTTTTTCAACAAACAATAGAATTTGTATTGAGATATGTATAATATAAATGGGATTCCTACTTGTATTAAAATAGTTTTTAGTTGAGTCAAAAATATATTGTACATGGTGAATCAAACACTAGAAATTCAAGATAATTGATGAATCATTTCACTTTTCTAACTTTAGTTTCTGTAATCCTTTCAAGCTCTCAGAAGCCTCTGATTACCTTTATATTAAGTTGTTATGAAAATCTAAGAAAGTGGGATTTAAATCAGTTGAAGACTTTTACACTAACTGTGCTGTAGAATGCTAGTCTGAATTTATTATGATGATTTATACTATAAACTAGAGGCCCAGTGCATGAAATTTGTGCTCAGGTGGGGGGGGGGGTGTCCCCTCAGCCCAGCCTGTACCCTCTCCAATCTGGGACCCCTTGGGGGATGTCCGACTGCTGGTTTAGGCCTGATTCCTCTCACAATCCTGGACTGCTGGCTCCTAATCGCTCACCTGCCTGCCTGTCTGGTCTCCCCTAACTGCCACCCCTGCCAGCCTGATTGCCCTCACTGCCTATGCATGGCAGCCTGATTGCCCCTAACTTCCCCCTGCTGTCCTGGTCGCCCCTAAGTGCCCCCAGCTGCCATCCTGGTCACCCTTAACTGTCCCCCCCCCCTTGTCAGCCTGGTTGCCTCTTACTGTCCCCCACTACCTGCCTGGTCACCCCTAACTGCCTCTGTGTGCCGACCTGATCGCCCCTAACTGACCCCCTGCTTGCCTGGTAGCCCCTAACTGCCCCTCATTGCTGGCCAGGTCACTCCTAATTGCACCCCCCCCGCCAACCTGGTCACCCCTTACTGCCCCCCCTGCTGGCCTAGTCACCCCTCACTGTTCCCCTCGCCAGCCTTTTTGCCCCAACTGCTTCCCCTGCTGGCCTGGTTGCCCCCAGCCACACACCCCCTGCCGGTCTGATCACCCCCAACTGTTGCCGCTACTGGCCTGGTTTCTCCCAGCTGCCTCCACCCCCCTCCGCCAGCCTGGTCACCCCATGTAGCCTGTTGTTCAATCGTTTGGTCGTCCCTCACTAACAACCCTGTTTGCCTGGCTATAGGCAGCCATCTTGTGAGGGTGTGAAGGTCAATTTGTATATTACCTGTTTATTATATAAGATTAATTCCTAGGGGGATATAAAGGCATTTCAGTGTGCTAAAACTTTCACCACGGACCTTTCCCAGAGTGATTTTTAAAATGGGAAAGTTTTAGAATATACCAATTGTCAATCCTGATAAAAAGCCAAAGAAATATATATTTTAAATCATATCTCTTAAAAAATATTTTTATTGATTTCAGAGAGAGAGAGAGAGAGAGAGAGAGAGAAAGAGAGAGAGAGAGAGATATCAACAATGAGAGAGAAACATTGATCCGCTGCTTCCTGCCTGGCTCCTACTGGGGATCGAGCCTAGAACCTGGGCATGTGCCCTGACTAGGAGTGGAACTGTGACCTCCTGTTTCATGGGTTGACACTCAACCACTGAGCCACAACAGCCGGCTCTCTGACATTCCCTGAGGGGTCCCTTGGCCTGGCCTGCACCCTCTTGCAATCTGGGACCCCTCAGGGAATGTTAGAGAGCCGGCTCTTGTGGCTCAGGATCAGTGCTTTGGGCCTCTAGTATGCATATAAGATCTTTGGTTAATCTCTTCCTGCTCTTTCCCCTCCTCGCTTCCCTCTGAGATTCATCAATCTGTTCCATGTTTCCATGCCTGTGTGTTGAGTGCCTGCGCCCTGGTGGTCAGTGCAGGTCATAGCTATCAGTTGAATGGCTGAACTGTCAAATGATCACTTAGGCTTTTATATATATGAATGAGAGTGAATACAAAAGAGAGAAATGTACTAATGACAACCCAAGAAGTGGTAGTGATATAGTTTTTAGCTTTTATAGAAAACTAGAGACCCAGTGCACAAATTTGTGCACCAGTGGGGTCCCTCAGCCTGGCCTGTGGGATCGGGCTGAAACTGGCTCTCCAACATCCCCTGAGGGGTTCTGGATTGCAAGAGGGCACAGGCCAGGCTGAAGAACCCCACCAGTGCACAACTGGGCCGGGGAGGGATGCAGGAGGTTGGCCAGCCAGGGAGGAACCATGGGAGGGCTTCAGGGTGTGTCTAGCCTCTCTTGCTCAGTCCCAATCGGCTGGACCCCAGCAGCAAGCTAATCTACCAGTCAGAGAATATGCCCCCTGGTGGTCAGTTCATGTAATAGTGACTGGTTGACTGGTTGACTGTCTGCTCCCTAGAGGTCAATGCATGTCATAGCGAGTGGTTGAGTGGCCTTACGTTGAGTGGCCTTAGCATATCATTAGCATATTATGCTTTGATTGGCTGAATGGACGACAGAGCACTTAGCATATTAGACTTTTATTATATAGGATTAGATCTAAAAGGGATTATCTGGTCCAGTCCCTCAAGATATTGCAGCTGTTCAAATTAGGGTAATTTCTCCAAAGATTCTAGATTTCATCTTGCTTGAAAATAGCTGATACAGACTTTCTATATTTATGCAAATTACACAGAAATCACATGCAGATAAAGTATACTATGCCTGAATTTCATATTTTAGACATTTCAGTAGATAAAGAACTCACACATTAAAATAATGGATCTTTGCAATCTGTGTGGACAGTTAGCATTCTCTATATCGCTATTAATGCTATTGAGGGCACAGAGAACATTTAATTTCTTTCTACTCTTCCACTCCTCCCTTCATCTAAATACAGTGACTAGTCCTCCCCCTGGAGTCCTTTCTATGAACCACATTTATAATTTGTAGACTGTTGAATGTTTATTTTCTTTCTTTAAAAAAAAATATATTGATTTTTTACAGAGAGGAAGGGAGAGGGTAGAGAGCTAGAAACATAGATGAGAGAGAAACATCAATCAGCTGCCTCCTGCACATACTGGGGATGTGCCCACAACCAATGTACATGCCCTTGACCGGAATCAAACCTGGAACCCTTCAGTTCATAGGCTGATGCTCTATCCACTGAGCTAAACCGGTTAGGGCTGTATGTTTATTTTCAAAGGAACTATTAATATAATAGGAAAATTGTTCCTCTGAAAATAAAAAGAACAGCTTTGATCCCTAATGAAAAGTCCTGAGAAAAAGACAAGCTGAACTTTGGAACAATGTGGGGAATAGGCAGAGGTGGTTTTTGTGGGTGGTGATCATATGAAAGGAGAGCTAGACAGAACCAGAATGAGACTGCTACAAGCAATTTTTGACTCTATGGAGTCTGAACCTGTTTTTGTTCACTACTGTATACCTAGCAGCTAGCACAGTGCCAGGCATATAATAAGCATGCAGTCAATATTTGTTGAATAAATAAATGCTGTTTTAGCTTCCTGCTCAAGGATTTGGCATCCAGAACAGTTTTGTGATAATCATTACATAAATTTCCTCTTAATAAAAAAGGAATTGCATGTTTTTGTTTCCTTTGAGATTTTAGGCTTGAAAAGTCTCTTTGATATCTAACATTCAGAGGAAAAGTTAAGTGTTATTACTGGAAAAGGAAACAAGGGAAACATTTTTGTGTGTACGTGTGGTTGCTTGTTTTAAAACACACATGTAAAAATTAGTGAATAAGGAAATGTTTTCCAATCTGCAGCATGAAAAAAACAGGGTAATAAAACTTTTTAGATAGCATTTTATATATACAGTTTCTTTATATAAATTATTGATTTTAGAGAGGAAGGTAGAGAGAGAGAGATATAGAAACACCAATGTTGAGGGAGAAGCTAAAGGAGAGATAAAAATATGATATTAAAATAAGTGGAAGATTTAACTATATAACTATTATAGCTGATTTAAAATTAGATTTCCTACTCTGAATTACTTTAAAGCAGTTACTTAATTCTTCAGCCTGTCATCTTTCTCTGCTTTTGTGCATCCATTTGAATTCCCTGCCTCATATATCCTTGCTGATTTCTGTTTGTCTTACAACATTCCGGTATTATCACTGCTAAGAATTCATGTTCTCAGGAATGAATGGCTGTCTATTTTCTCTATTCTCTCTTCTAGTATTGTTTCCTGAGACTGTGTCATCTCAGCTTTGTATCCTGAGAATCCCAGTTCTTGGCACATATAATAAGTGCTTGATAAATATCAGTCGTTCAATGTTTTTACCTTTATATTATTCGCTGCTTTCCTATCTGTTTACTCATCTGATCCTTATAACAACCCAGAAAGAACTGCTTTCGTATCTGTTTACTCATCTGATCCTTATAACAACCTGGAAGACAATAGGGTATATTCTCATTTTTCAGATGATAGAACTAATGGGTATCGTTGGCTACTTGGTGAGAAGTGATAAAGGAACTCAAATCTTCTGATTTCCAACCCAGTGTACGTGTGTATGAGAGAGTGAGTGAATACATCATAAATTTTTGTAATATATCAGCCAAAGAGATGCACACAGTCACGATAGTAGGGTGTGTCTGTCTATGAGTATGTTTCAAAAGTATGATCAGTACCTGAGTCATGTACACTTACATATAACTTTACCATTCCGATAGGTACACAAGACGTTTGTGTTTCTAAAGATAATAGTAGTGATGAGAAGTAGTATAGAAACTCCGTTCGATTTTACTGTTTGTTTCATTTTTAAATGTTGTGTGCAATGATTGTTTTTTAGGTTCTATGTCATGCAATTTAATTAAACCGACTTCTGAAATTTCCCTCCAAAGGTTTCACTGGAAGAAAAAACTGCAACTATTATTTATGACCCTAAACTACAGACTCCAAAGACCCTGCAGGAAGCTATTGATGACATGGGCTTTGATGCTATTCTTCACAATCCTAACCCTCTCCCTGTTGTAACCAACACTGTGCTTCTAAGTGCCATTGCTTCACCGACTCTTCTGCCATGGGACCATATCCAAAGTACATTGCTCAAGACCAAGGGTGTCACAGATATTAAAATTAACCCTCAGCTAAGAACTGCAGTGGTGACAATAATTCCTTCTTTAGTGAATGCCAGTCAGATAATAGAGCTAGTTCCGGATCTCAGTTTAGACACTGGAACTCTGGAGAAAAAGTCAGCAACTTGTGAAGATTCTAGTATGGCTCAAGCAGGTGAAGTCATGCTGAAGATGAAAGTGGAAGGGATGACCTGCCATTCATGCACTAGCACCATTGAAGGAAAAATAGGGAAATTACAAGGTATTCAGCGAATTAAAGGTAATACATCTGGTGTTATTTGTTTGTTTTGTAAGGCTTGGTTTTTCTGCTTGGCCTTTTCACTTTCTGCTTTCTTCTTAAGCATGGGATTTGAATCTGTGGGACTGGAATGCTTATTGCTTCATTGAAATCTGAGGTACAGTGTATTCCCAGGATTAATATCAGTAAAGCTAATGATTAAAAGTTACATGAGTCTTGAACTAGCAGAAAAGGCAGTTGGTGTGGTGATTCAGGGAGTTCAGAGTTCTTAACAACTAATATTTCTACTCAGGCATGCAGAAACTTGGAGACTATAGATACAGTGGTCATATCTTTTACTTTTTTCCAGTATATGTCAATAACATTTTCTGAAAAGCAAATAATTGTTTTAACAAAGGATAATAACAACGAGAGAGAAACAATTTTGTGTGGTATTGATTTGATCTACTGAATGTTTTCTGAAGTAGCCCAGGGATAATTGAATTTAATTTTTTTTCTCTTTATTAATTAGTCTCCTTGGACAACCAAGAAGCTACTATTGTTTATCAACCTCATCTTATCACAGCAGAGGAAATAAAAAAGCAGATTGAAGCTGCGGGCTTTCCAGCATTCGTCAAAAAGCAGCCCAAGTACCTCAGATTGGGAAGTATTGATATAGAACGTCTAAAAAACACACCCGTCAAATTCTCAGAAGGATCACAGCAAAGGAGTCCATCATATACCAGTGATTCCACAGTAACTTTCATCATAGATGGCATGCATTGTAAATCATGTGTGTCAAATATTGAAAGCGCTTTATCTACACTCCAATATGTAAGCAGCATAGCGGTTTCTTTAGAGAATAGATCTGCTGTAGTAAAGTACAATGCAAGCTTAGTCACTCCAGAAACTCTGAGAAAAGCAATAGAGGCCATATCACCAGGACAATATAGAGTTAGTATTGTAAGTGGAGCGGAGAGTACCTCAAACTCTCCCTCCAGCTCATCTCTTCAAAAGATTCCTTTGAACATAGTTAGTCAGCCTTTGACTCAAGAAACCATGATAAACATTGATGGCATGACTTGTAATTCGTGTGTGCAGTCTATTGAGGGTGTCATATCAAAGAAGGCAGGTGTAAAATCCATACTTGTATCCCTTGCGAATGCCAATGGAACTGTTGAATATGATCCTCTACTAACCTCTCCAGAAACTTTGAGACAAGCTATAGAAGACATGGGATTTGATGCTACCTTGCCAGGTAATTTATCACCTTTTTCTTTTCTTTTTCATTTATTTCTTTACTCATTTTACTTTTTATTGAATTATTGGGGTGACATTGGTTTACAAAGTCAAACAGGTTTCAAGTGTACAACTCAACAAAATACCATCTGCACACAGTATTGGGTGCCCACTGCCCCAAGCAAAGTCTCTTTATGTCCCTGTTCCCTTCCCCGCATTGACCACCACACCTAGTCCCCTCTCCCCTTTTCCTCTATCACCATATTGTTGTCTGTGTCTATATGTTTTATATCTACAGCGCGCACGCACACACACACCCCCACACACATATACATAAACTTTTTTGTGCTCAATCCCTTCACCATCTTTCATACAGCTACCCAGTCCCGCTCCTCTCGGGTTTGTTCCATGTATCCAAGCTCCTGTTTCTATTTTGTTCATCAGTTTGTTTTGTTCATTAGATTCCACATATAAGTGAGATCATATGGTATTTGTCAGTCAGGAATTGTCCTGACTAATTTCACTTAACTTATTTATTTATTTATTTATTTAAAATATATTTTATTGACTTTTTACAGAGAGGAAGAGAGAGGGATAGAGAGTTAGAAACACAGATGAGAGAGAAACATTGATCAGCTGCCTCCTGCACATCCCCCACTGGGGATGTGCCCACAACCAAGGTACATGCTCCTGACTGGAATCGAACCCGGGACCTTTTAGTCCACAGGCCGGCGCTCTATCCACTGAGCCAAACCAGTTTCGGCTCACTTAGCTTATTACTGTCTGAGTCCATCTATGCTGTAGCAAAAGGTATGATTTCCTTTTAGTATTTCACTGTGTAAAAAACCACAGTTTTTTACCCTCTCATCTACTGCTGATCACCTGGGCTGTTTCTAGATCTTGGCTATTGTAAATAATGCTGCAATGAACATAGGGATGTATACTAGTATATTCTTTTGAGTTAGTGTTCTAGGTTTTTTCAGAAATTCCCAGAAGTGGAATCACTGAATCAAAAGGCAGTTCCATTTTTAATTGTTTGAGGAAACTCTATACTGTTTTCCTCAATGGCTGCACCAATCTGAATTCTCACCAGTAGTACGTAAGAGTTCCCTTTTCTCCATATACTATCTAGCACATGTTGTTTATTATTATAATTTATTGATGATAACCATTCTGACAGGTATGAGGTGATATCTCATTGTGATTTTAATTTGCATCTCTGATGTTGAGCATTTTTTCATGTGTATTGGTGGTCATCACTATGTTCTCTTTCAAGAAGTATCTATTCCTGTTCTTTGCCCATTTTTTAAATTGTCTTTTCTTCTTCTTGGTGTTGAGTAGTACAAGTTCTTTATGTATTTTAGAAATATATATATATATATATCAGATGTATCATTGGCAAATATGTTCTCCCATTCAATGGGTTTCCTTTTTATTTTGTTGATGGTTTCTTTTGTTGTATAAAAGATTTTAAGTTTTATCTAGTCCCATTTTTAATATTTTCTTTTGTTTCCCTCTCCTGATTAGATATATTTGCAAAAATATTGCTAAAAGAAATGCCTGAAAATTTACTGCCTTTGTTTTCTTCTAGGATTTTTATGTTTTTTTTTGACTTACATTCAAATATTTAATCCATTTTGAATTTATTCTTGTGTATGGTGTAAGTTGGTGGTGCAGTTTATTTTTTGCAAGTATCTGTCAAATTTTGCCAACACTGAAGAGACTGTCTTTACCCCATTGTATGCTCTTGCCTCTCTTGCCAAATATTAATTGACCATAAAGTTCAACTTATTCTGGGCTCCCTATTCTGGTCAGTGGAACAGAATCTGAGGTTCTTATGCCAGTACCATGCTGTTTTGATTAATATAGCCTTGTACTATAGTTTGATATCAGGTGGTATGATACCTTTAACTTTATTCTTTTTTTCTCAAGATTGCTGAGGCTATTTGGAGTCTTTTTTGGTTCCATGTAAATGTTTGGAATATTTGTTCAAAATCTGTGAGGTATGCCATTGGTATTTTAATAGGAATTGCATTGAATCTGTAGATTGCTTTGAGTATGATGGACATTTTAATGATGTTATTTTTTCTTATCCATGGACAAGTTATATGCCTCTACTTATTTGTATATTCTCAGTTTCTTTCTTCAGTATCTTATAATTTTCTGTGTACAGATCTTTTACCTCCGTGGCTAAATTTATTCCAAGGCACCTTATTTTTGTTGTTCTAGTAGTAAATGGGATTTTTACTTTATTTATTTATTTATTTATTTATTTAATTGAGAGAGAGAGAGAGAGAGAGAGAGAGAGAGAGAGAGAGAGAGAGAGAGAGAGAGAGGGAGAGAAGGGAGAGAGGGAGGGAGGGAGGGAAGAAGGAAGGAAGGGAGATGGAGAGAGAAACATTGATCAGTTGCTTCCTATATGTGACTGATAGGGGATGGAACTTGCAACCTGGGTATGTGTCCTGACCAGGAATTGAACCCGCAACCCTTTGGTACATGGGATGATGCTCCAACTGAGCTACACCAGCTAGTGTGGATTCTTTTCTTAATTAATCTTTGTGTTAGTTCATTATTGGTGTATAAAAATGCCACCAATTACTGAATATTAATTTTGTATCCTGCTACTTTGCTGAATTCATTTATTATATCTAATAGTTTTTGGTGGAATCTTTAGGGGTTTTTATATACAAAATTATGGCATCTGTGAATAATAACAGTTTTACTTTCCCTTTTCCAATTTGGATGCCTTTTATTTCTTCTTCTCTGATTGCTGTGGCTAGGACTTCTAGTACTATGATGAATAAAAGAGGTGAAAGTGTACATCCATGTCTTCTTGATTTTAAGGGAATGCTTTTAGTTTTTGCCCATTGAGTATGATGTTGGCTGTGGGTTTGTCATATATGGCCTTTATTATTTTGAGGTATGACCCCTCTAGTCCCATTTTGCTGAGAGTTTCTATAAAAAAATGGGTGCTGGATTTTATCTAATGTCTTTTTTGCATCAATTGATATAATCTTACAATTTTTATTCTTCATTTTGATTATATGAAGTATGACACTTACTGTTTTTTGGATATTGTACCAAACTTGCATCCCCAGAATAAATTCCACTTGGTTATGGTATATGATCTTTTTAAAAAAATATATTTTAAATTGATTTTAGAGAGGAAGGGAGAGGAAGAGAGAGATAGAAACATCAATGATGAGGGAGAATCATCTATCAACTGCTTCCTGCATGCCCCCCCCCCCCCCACTGGGGATTGAGCCTACAATCTGGGCATGTGTCCTCAACTGGAATGGAACCCAGGACCCATAGGTCTGCAGGCTGATGCTCTGTCCACTGAGCTAAACCAGTTAGGGCTGATCTTTTTAATGTTTTGCTGGATTTGGCTTGCTAATATTTTGTTGAGGACTTTAGCATCTATGTTCATCAGAGATAATGTTTTTTTTTTGTGGTTTTTTTTTTCCATTGTAGTGCCTTTATCTGGTATTGGAATTAGGATAAAACTGGCCTCGAAAAAAAGACCTTGATAGTCTTCCCTCCTCCTGAATTTTTTGGAATAGTTTGAGAAGGATAGGTGTTAGTTCTTTTTTGAATGTTTGATAAAATTTGACTATGAAACCATCCCACCCATCCAGGAGTTTTGTTTGCTAAGAGGTTTTTTTTTTTTTTTAATTAATGCTTTGATTTTATTAGTTATAATTGGTCTGTTCCATTTTTCTGATTGTTCCTGGCTTAAGTTTGGAAAGATTGTGTGTTTCTAGGAATTTATCCATTTCACCCAGGTTGTCCAGCTTATTGGCATATAGTTGTTCATAGTATTTTCTTATAAGCCTTTGTATTTCAATGGTGACCGTTGTTACTTATCCTGACATTTCTGATTTTATTTATTTGGGTCCTCTCTCTTTTTTTCGTGATGAGTCTGGTTAAAGGTTTGTCAATCTTCCTTATCTTTCAAAGTACCGCCTCTTACTTTTATTGATCATTTGTATTATTTATTATTTCATCCCTATGTCATTTATTTTTGCTCTAATCTTTGCTATGTATTTTCTTCCTTCTACTTACTCGGAGATTTGTTTGTTGTTCTTTTTCTACTTCTTGTAAGTCTAGGATTAGATTATTTATTTGAGATTTTTCTGGCTTCCTGAGGTAGATTTATAATGCTATGAACTTCCTCCTCAGGGCTGCTTTGAGGGTGTCCCATAGGTTTTGGGTTGTTGTGTGTTCATTTTCATTTGTTTCCATGAAGATTTAAAAAATATATATATTTTATTGATTTTGTACAGAGAGGAAGGGAGAGAGATAGAGAGCTAGAAACATCGATGAGAGAGAGTCATCGATCAGCTGCCTCTTGCACACCCCCTACTGGGGATATGCCCGCAGCCAAGGTACATGCCCTTGACCGGAATTGAACCCGGGTCCCTCAGTCCCCAAGCCGACGCTCTATCCATTGAGCCAAACCGGTCTCGGCTGTTTCCATGAAGATTTTGATATCTTCCTTGATCTCATTGTTAACCCATTCAGTGTTTAATATTTTATTTAGCCGCCAAGAGTTAGAATTTTTAAAAAAATTTTAATTGATTTTTAGTTTTATAACATTGTGGTCAGAGAAAATGCTTGATATGATTTCAATCTTCTTGAATTTATTAAGGTTTAGTTTGTGTCCTAACACGTGGTCTATCTTTGAGAATGTTCCATGTACTTGAGATGAATGTGTATTCTGCTGCTTTGGGATGAAATGTTCTGTAATTATCCTATATAATAAAAGCTTTAATATGCAAATTGACTTAACCGTGGAATGACAGATGGCAGGGGGTGGGGTCAATGAGCAGGCGTCGCCAGGCCAGCCAAGGCGGGTGCCAGTGAGCAGAGGGAGGGGATGGCGATGAGGGAGCAGTGGCAACCAGTGGTGGCGGAGGGGAAATGGGGGGCGGGGCCATTCGCTCGAAGCCAGGGCCATCCCTTGATTGGCCCACAGGTCACCTCCCGCAGAAGGAAGCCATCAGTCAAGCATCCCCT